AGGAGTTGCATCCGAACGTGCGGTCCCCGAAGTCCCGACTCATTTCCGAGGGACTGGCCCCCCAACAGAGGATCTGCCGACCCTTATCCCCGATTTCGTTGGACTTTCGAATGGGCGTCCATCCTTGGTAGCGGTGCATCCGGATAGTCCCCAAGGGGTGTATCCCCGAGTGCCCCCCTTTTCAGAACGGCTTGAGCTTCCGTGGGGAAGCCAGGGGTCCTCCTTCTCCTCTGGCTCCTCTGGCTCCTCTGGCTCCTCTGGCTCCTCTGGCTCCTCCTCCTCCTCCTCCTCCTCCTCCTCCTCCTCCTCCTCCTACTCCTCCTCCTCCTCCTCCTCCTCCTCCTCCTCCTCCTCCTCCTCCTCCCTCTCCTCCTACCCCTCCTCCTCCTCCCCCTCCTCCTCCCCCCCGGGGTCCTTGCTGCACGGTCCCGGGGTCCGGTGCAGGCCCCCAGAGGCCGAGGATAGCTCCAACCCACCACGCCTCTCTACATCGCGGGGAGGCCTGGGGCTCCGGGGGTCTCGTCGACCCGCAGGCCTCTCCCGGGGTGCGTTCTGGATGGGAACCCAGCCGTGGCCACGAGAGCGCTTCCAGAGGCCCCCGCCAGCGCAGCAACGCCAGCACCAACGCACACAAACAGACAAACCAAAAAAACTACCTCGAAACCCAAAGCCAAACCTCTTCTGATGCCCCCCCCGCCCCTCCTGCAGCAGTCGGGCCATGCCAAGGGTCTCCGGCGGCCGTTGGCGACGATCCTGGCACGCCCGGAGCGCTCTCGGCGTGGCGCAGCTTCTGGAACGCGCCCCGAGGCAGGAACACTCCCAGGAACCGACGAAACCGTCCGAAGACCCCGAGCCCCCACCGACCCGCCATCAACGCCGACAGCCTATTCCCCGCGCCGCGCCCTGCGCGGCACCTGGCTACTTCCGCGCGCCGCGCTTCCAATTTCGGCGCACACGATGTGGCTGCTCTGGCGCGGAGGCCACCGTGGGCAGGGGCGCGGCCAGCGCGAGGACCCCCCTGGGGGGGGGGGGGGGGGTCGGGGGCACGGAGGCTGTGGCCAGGCCGGGGGCAGCCGTGCACAGTCGTCGCCGGGGAGGCTCCCTCGCCTTGCCCCCCCACTCCAGGTGTGGAGCAGACGCCCACTCCGTCGGATCGTTGCTTCCGTCTGGCGGCGAGCTCAAGGGGGGGAAGGCAGCGGGGGCGCGCGCCCCCGCAGAAGGCTCCAGAGGGGCCTCCGAGCCTTCCGGGAAGCCCTCCGAGCCTTCGGAGCCACCCTCGCAGCCTGTGTCTGGTGCCCGCACCGTCTGGTGCCCACCCTCCCTCGTTCACACGCAGGATCACACGCCAGAATGGCCCTGGGCAAGAGTCAAGAGCGACCTCGGGAGCGCGGCTGTCCTCCCTCTTCCCTCCTCCCTCTCCTCCTCCTCCATGCCTTTTCCTTGTAACTTCTCCCTGTCGCACCCCGAGGCCTGTTTTTAGGGCGGGCCGGGCGTTTCGCCTGAGACTTCCTCACCACTTGTGACCCTGACCTGAAGCTTCAACATGGACAACAGCTTCATAGATGGATGGCGCGTGGTTTTCCAAATGTGACTCTCGCCGCAGGGCGGCGCATTTGTGTTTGAAAAGTTGCAAGAGCTTCACGGATTGAGGGCGGGCCGTTTTCAAAATGTGGCTCTCGCCATCGCGCGGCGCACATCCGCTTAAATTTACCAGAGCTTCACGGATTGCGGGCGGGTCGTTTTCGAAATGTGGCTCTCGCCTTAGCGCGGCGCACATTTGTTTCAACAAATTGCAAGAGTTTCACGGATTGAGGGCGGATGGTTTTCAAAATGTGGCTATCGCCTTAGCGCCGCGCATACTCGCTTCTAACATGTGCAAAGGTTTTTACGAATTTCCATGATCAACAAACCAGAAATTGTGTTTTGCAAGGATGCAGGATTATGAGGGTGCAACAATTACGTACGCTGGCTCGCAGTGTTGAAGTCCCAGGAACAGTGTTCTGACACGATTCAACATCGTCAAGACGCAACAGTCAGGTTGATCCGTGGCGTTGGAATCTCGAGAACAATGTTTTGGCATGCTTCAGGGTCTTCAAACGGTTGTCTTCCAACGATGCAGTTCACTTAATGGAAACGAACCGTTGTAGGACCATACACCATACGGAAAGGGAGCTTGGAGGGAGGGTTTCTTCAAACATCGCTGATGACCCTTGGGTTTCAACTGGTCCTCCTCCTCCTACTTCGCCTCCTCCTCCTCCTCCTCCTCCTCCTCCTCCTCCACCCTCGCTCACACGCAGGATCACACGCCAGAGTGGCCCTGGGCAAGAGCCAAGGGTGACCTTGGGTGCACGGCTGTCCTCCCTCTTCCCTCATCCCTTCCCTCCTCCTCCTCCTCCTCCTCCTCCTCCTCCTCCTCCTCCTCCTCCTCCGCCCTCGCTCACACGCAGGATCACACGCCAGAGTGGCCCTGGGCAAGAGCCAAGGGTGAACTTGGGTGCACGGCTGTCCTCCATCTTCCCTCATCCCTCCCCTCCTCCTCATCCTCCTCCTCCTCCTCCCTCCTCCTCCGCCCTCGCTCACACGCAGGATCACACGCCAGAGTGGCCCTGGGCAAGAGCCAAGGGTGACCTTGGGTGCACGGCCGTCCTCCCTCTTGCCTCCTCCTCCTCCTCCTCCGCCCTCGTTCACACGCAGGATCACACGCCAGAGTGGCCCTGGGCAAGGGCCACGAGCGGCCATTGGGGTGCGCGGCTGTCGGGGGCGGTGGGCCAAATATCCAAGCGCACAGGCCGGTGCTCTTGGGGGGCGGGGACCCTGTGGGCCCGCACCACAGGCCATTCCGCGCGAAGGCTCACTCGTGAAATCGGACCTGGGCCACAAGAAACTCATAGACGGGAAAAACTGGATACACACAAACTCTTGGCGCTCCGCGCGGGTTTCTTGGATCTGCGCCGGCCCCCCTCCCTGGCGTGCGGAGCGCGCCAGGGCGGCACCGGAGGCGCTGCTGGGGGGGCCCAGTGCGGATCCAAGAAATCCGCGCGGAGCGCCCAAAGTTTGTGTTTATGGCGTTGTCTCTTTTTCGGAAAATCCTTCAGGAGCATGAGACTCTGCGTCGGCCCAAACATACCGAACATCCAAGGGTGCCCTCGCTAGGATGCACAAGAGCGTCCAACAAACACGAAGAACACGAGGGTACCCTCCCAGAACCGACCTCGATCTTATACCTCGGTCCGACTGTAGCCCGCTCCCGCAGCAGAAAGCACCGCCGCCCTCAGCTCCACGCCCCAGGGGCGCCGCGGTGGCCTGCGACACCATGTCGTCGATCACGCGATGCTGGTACCACAGGCCGTGGTCCTCGAAGGCCTGCGGGGGCAAAAGGCGGCCCCGAGCTCCCGGCGTTGGAGAGCCAGGCTGTCAGGTGGCGGAAAAGCCAGAGGGCGCCGCAGATCTCGGGTGTTCTGAAAGTTTTTGGAAGGCCTTGTCGGTTCACGAAGGTTTGCTCGCCTCGGGATGCTCTCCTAGGGGCCACATGCGAACCCTACCCCTACCCCCCACGATTTCTGAGGGGGAGGGTGGGGTTCCCTTCGTTCGGGAGCTCCCGAGCGAAGTGAACCCCACCCTCCCCCTCAGAAATCAAAGGGGTAGGGGTAGGGTTCGCATGTGGCCCCCTATCTCCAGCAGCTGCGCCTCGCCGAGAGCGTTCCGGGGATGCCCGGATCGTCTCGAGCGGCCGCCGGAGGCCCGAGCTGTGGCGTGAGAGCCCCTACAGGGCAGTTTTTAATACATAGGATCTTTAAACATGTAGGAACTTTAATACATGATTAATGTATGCATAGATTTATGCACGAACTCATCGTTGTGTTCAATGCTAAATCCCTGCATTTTTTAATGCATGACCCGCACGCGGAGCATGTATTTAAAACGGCACTGTATCCTCCCAGGCCTTGCGATCTGGGCGTTGCCATGTGTTCACGCCGGGCGTCTCCGCGCCGTTTCGGGGCCCAGGGCCCTCACAGAGGAGGAGGAGGAGGAGGAGGAGGAGGAGGAGGAGGAGGAGGAGGAGGAGGAGGAGAAAGAGGAGGAGGAGGAGAGGAGGAGGAGGAGGAGGAGAAGGGGGAGGTGAGGGGGACGAGGAGGAGGAGGAGGGGAGGATGAGGAGGAGGAGAAGGGGTAGGTGAGGGGGAAGGAGGAGGAGGAGGGAGGAGGAGGAGGAGGAGGAGGAGGAGGAGGAGAGGAGGAGGAGGAGGAGGAGGAGGAGAGGAGAAGGAGGAGGAGGAGGAGGAGGAGGAGGACGATCAGGCTCGAGAACTGCAGCAGGGAGAGATGGGCTCTGGGGCTCTGGTCGTGATCCACTGCGATGTCGCAGCCTCTTCGCAGCGTCGGATCTCAGGGGAGGCAGGAGTACGAGGGGGCGCGGCTCTAGAAGAACATCGCACATCACATAAGCACAACTGTTCGGATTTCCGGACGGTGAGAGTTTTTTCCTTCGGCGTTTCGACATTGGGCGGCCGCCCCGCCCCGGCGATCCGCACGGAGCTCCGCCTGCACCCGGAGCTGCGTCACCACCTCCGCCGCGTGCTCCCGCCAGGTAGCCCGTCACCGCCCGTGAGCCCAGCACCGCCGCAGCAACCGGATCCGAACGAGGCAGCAAGCGAAGGACGGAGCAGAAGGGGAAAGATCTCGCAGGCGGGGCAGAGGAGGCAAGAGAGCGTAGCTGTCCTCAGCCCTCGCCCGCCTCCCCTCTTCCTTTCACTACTCCCCCCAACCACCCACGCCACCAACCCCACAGCGCCAATCCCACCCCACCGTCTCCCCTCTAGGGGAGAAGGAGGGGGGATGGGATGGGCTAGTCCCCAGACCGCTAGTCCCCGGACCTCTCCTGGGGTGCGTTTTGACAAGAGTTTCCAGGAGAATCCAGCGGTGGCGACGAGGGCTTCCCAGGAGGCCCAAAAAGGCGCAAACGAAGCAAGGGTAGCGATATGGGTACCTTTTCCTCCTCTCCCCCTCGCCCCCTGCCTACACAATGTGCTCATGCCGCAACGTGTGTCACAGCCCAACGCATGGGCAATACAACATCATCCGAGAAGCCAGGCCATCATCTGGCGAATCTCGCGTGGATAGCTGATGGGCTCATCCTCCTGGTCAGGGTCTCGAAACCCCAGGAGCTTGTAAGACGTCGCGGCTCGAACACGATACAGAGCCTCATTTTGCTTTTCTGAGCTGAACCTCGTGCGGCTCCAACGGTCAAGCCAATCAGAACTACCAGGCAACGGGTAGGAGCAAGCCGTGCATTGACCTTCGGGTCTGTTGGTCACCTAATGTTACGAGCAAATATCGGCCTCGCCCTTCTATCTCGTTGCCTCCTCGTTCAATTCGTCTTCTTCTTCAACCACCTCCCTTGAGTCTTCTTCGCCCTCCTCCGCGCACCTTGTCACGACCATTCGACTCAGATCATCTCGCTAATGAATCCTTGCTTGTTTTACTGGCGCAACGGCAAGGTGGGCAACATTCCACAGTAGTTGTCCAGCATTGGGTGGCATCGCCCTCCTGTAAGTGCAGGGTGGGTCGGCCAAGACGCAATTTGGTGGAACGTGTTCACGATGCTTGATTACAGACGCCAGCTCCCTTCAATCATTTGACCCGTTCATGGAACAACCCAACGGGTTTCAAACTCGAGGAGAGACAGCACATGCGTCTTTGTGATGGGGTAGACGCAACCGTCACTTCATTGAGCGCGCGTAGGTCACATGCTCCATGCCAGTGTGCCGATGTGGTGCAGACAAAACTTCTCACCCACTCACTTCAAGGCTCCCGCGTATGCTGCGCGCCAACAATGTTGCTGCTTCTGGGGACGTATCTATTACTGCAACATGGATGCCAAAACCACGGCGCATGCATTCGAACCGTGATGCTCGTGGCAATTGTGGAAAGAACCCCAGCCCATTTGCTTTACGACTTAGACTGGGTCAATTTTGATCCACAGCATTCTGCACGAGCTCTGGGAAGATATTGTGAGTCTTGGGTACATCGGCTCGGAATGTCTGCAACTCCTGTCGTCGACCAGGGCTGGCGTCCGTGTGTATGTTCCACTGGTCCCATTCCAGATGTCATATCATCAATCGCAAGCCAGCTGGTAAATCGAATCATGCCCATGAAAGAACGATCAATGAGAAACGCCAGAGTCAGACTCCCAAGTGGATTTGCACCACAGTGGGTCCTGCAGGACTTCTACGCCCTGCGACCACCTGGACACTTCTGAAGCAAAACCGCTAAGCTCCTCTTAACCACTGCCTCGAAGCGGTAATCATCTGTCCAAGCATTCGCACACTGTTGGGCCGCTTCTGCAACAGCATTCTGAGCTCCTCTGGACCAACCGTTCGCACACTGTCGTGCATGTGCAGGTCTCTTTCGGCCCTCCACGGTGCCTGCAGCCACGCCACCGAGACAAGCCACCCAAGCAACACAAGATGAAGAGTGCAGCACATGTCTTGCGATGGAGCAGCCATCGGCTGCAAAGGCAGCCTGCTAGCCATCGGCGAGGACTGCAGAGACCAGCGGTTTCTAAGGTCCAGCACTTGTCAGCGACGGCACCAACGTAGGGCTAGAAGCTCATCCAGTCGCTGCTCGTGTGGCTCCTCGGTTCCTCACGTGCCACGGTCCCCCTCGGGACTACTCCTCGGCAGGTGACGCTCTGCGATGTGGAAGCGAAAGCAGATCCCGCTGCTCACTTGCCTCTGAGCCTCTGCAGAGTCGAGCAGGGCGATCACATCTCTGTACAACTGTCCCAAAGCATTGTCATCCAAACTGCGACCTCTGGAGTATAACGCATAGGACTGCCACCAAAGACCGGTGGAGTTACGAAGGCGTCGCAACTTCTCAGTGACATTGCTGGCGGCACCGAACGCGTAGTGCAGCACAGCTGCCTCTTGTGGGTTCCAGTATCGCCTGGAACCGATTGCGCGGGTTCCAGTGTTACCTTCGCCGAAGCGATGCACACCCGCAGGCAGAGCTCCGCTGCGCAGGCGAACTGCGCTCTTTCCATGTTCGTAACCTAAGAAATATTGGGCGCTACCCAGGTGAGTCTTCGCTCGCTGGAGCCAGAACGAGAAAGCACATCTGGATGCAACGGATGCTGGGCTTAGGGTCAGATCTGTTCCATCACCGAGTGCCTCAATGAACTCATCAAGCTGACGATGCCATTTGCGTCTGCCACGTTGCGCCCATATGTTGCCGCCCAAGCCCTTCGCACCCAGCAGCACATCGTCGAGCCCAGTGCCTTCAACAAAACAATGCGGATTCCGCCGGAAGAGAGACACTGCCTCAAAACGGTTCATCGCAAGCCGTGCTTCGCCTTCACGGTCACAACATCCATCCAGTTCTGGCAATCCCTCATGATTCACATATGTTATAGCACTGCGGTCCGATACAATTCTAGCAAAATGTGCTGGTGCAGTTACATTATCTGGGAGAAGAAAGAGCTCATCCAAGTCAATGTGCAAGAGCCACTCGCAGCCATCCAGCCCCGCCCGCCTCATGGCGAGCTCGACATGCAGCTCTTGCCGCGCAATCCAGTCTTCACAAAGATGCGCCTGCAAGGCCTCGAAACGTTGGCACGACTTATACTCTTCTTGCAGCTGCCCGTCCACTGCAATTGCAACCACCTTGGGAGCCCATTGGCCAAGCACATCTCTGCTCCCCACAAGCTCTGCTGGATCGTCGAAAAACAAATACACTCGAGAAAACTGACAGGCGCCAAGATGGTGCGAAAGCCACGTAAACAGCTCTGCGCCTGGGATACCTCGAAGCGTCGAGACCACTGCGCAGGGCACTTCTCGACACTCCATGGTGCAAAGTTCCAAGATGGACGAATGTCAAGAGTGATTAGCTTGAACCTTGAGCCCAAACAGCTAGGGAGACGAGAAGATGGACACCATGGCCTTGTGGCGGCCGAGGAATATGAGCTGGCTGGGCCTCCAGAGAATCGGAAAGAAGGCAAATCCGTTCAAAATCGGTCCCACCGCTCCCGGGGTCTACTTGGTGCAAAAATTTCACCCTGGATCTCTTTTTTGACGGTCCCGGGGCCCGAAACGGAGCCCCACCGAGGCCGAAAGAGGCAAAACGCCCCCTCGAACCCAGCACTTCGAACCTCGCCTCCCCCTCCCTGCTCGCCTCTTGGCGGCGAGCGCGGGGGGGAAGTGACAAGGGGTGGGCTTTCTCAGAATGCTCGGAATTCACCTGGCCTAAGCCTTCCCCGAAGACAGACAAAAATTCTTCTCGGAAGGCGCGAGGGCTTCTAAGAAGTCCCGCCACCTTCTAAGCAGGCCTTCTCCTTCTCACTTCCTCTCCGGGCGCGCCGCCGAGTTCAATTTTCGGGTCATTGCTCGGGTCTCCGGCGGCCGTTCGGGACGATCCGGGCATCCCCGGAACGCCCTGGGCGAGGCGCAGCTGCTGGAACGCATCCCGAGGGCGGACGACCGCCAGGAGACTACGAAGACGCCAGGAAACCCTGAACCTCGAGGCTCGAACCTCGAAGTTGCCCCCCTCGCCCGCCGCCGAGCCTCGCCCGTGACCGGTGCTGGGCCGCCTCGGGTCCCTCCGCCAGCCCCAGGCGGGAGGCGGCGGATGCCGTGGCCCGCGTGCGCCCCCCCTCTGGCAGGGGCCGGGCGCGGCAGCCTCCAGGCAGTGTGGCGGGGCCCCGCCCTCTTCCCCCCGGGGATTGGCCGCGAAGGGTCTTCAGAACTCCCCCCGAACAGGGGGCAGCGAAGGCTCCTTCGGCGGCCCCGCCCCTTCGGCAGGGGGCAGCGAGATTGGTCTCCCCCACAACAGGGTCTTTGAAACTCCCGCCCCTACCACATGGGGGCAGCTCAGTATCCGTCGGCGGCCTTCTTGAAGGGCTGGGGTCCCACCAGATGGAGGGTAACCAGTGATTGTTTTCCGCGGCACCTGCCGCGCAACAACGACGACGACAGCTATGACAAGGAGGAGCAGGAGGAGGAGGAGGAGGAGGAGGAGAAGAAGGAGGAGGAGAAAGAGGAGAAAGAGAAGGAGGCGGAAGAGGAGGTTTTTTAGGACCAATCCTATTCACTGCCGAATGAAAAGGGGGGGACCGAAACAAAAGACCCTCAGGGGATGCCGGGCGACAAGGTCTCGGGGCTATCAGGCCACGGGATGTCGGGCCACAAGGTATCAGGTGCCCGGGCTGTTCGACGTGGACGGCGATCCCAGGCAAAGTGACCTTTGGTTCGCTGCTCCAAGGGGCCGCCTCAGGATTATCTCTTGCAGCGGGATGCTGCTGAATACTGGGTGTTGTGTCGGAGACGGAGGCTGCCGAGTACCGGCTTGTGTTGGAGACGGAGGCTGTGAGCATTGGGTTCTGTGTTGGAGACGGATGCCGTTGATAAGGGACCACAAGCGAACCCTACCCCTACACCCCACGATTTCTGAGGGGGGGTGGAGTTCACCTCGTTCAGGAGCTCCAGAGCGAAGTGAACCCCACCCTCCCCCTCAGAAGTCGTGGGGGGTAGGGGTAGGGTTCGCACGTGGCCCCCTGGTTGAGTACTGGGTTTTGTGTTTGGGACGGAGGCTGTTGAGTGGGTAGTGATGACTCGCGATAGCGCTCGTGGCCGGCCCTGGCTCCCCGCCTGCGCCGGCGCCGCGCGGGAATCATAGCAATTCCTGAGCGCCGGCGCCAATCGTGGCGCGACTGGCCCCCACCTCCTCCTCCTCCTCCTCCTCCTCCTCCTCCTCCTCCTCCTCCTCCTCCTCCTCCTCCCCACACTCCCTCGAACAATGCAAAAGTCATGACGGCAGGTGTTTCGCTATTTTCGGCCTCCAAGGGCCCTTGGGGGACTCGGGACCGCCAAAAAACGACTCGGGATGAAGAACCCGTCCCGGGGAAAGGGTCCTGACCTCTGGGGGCCTACGGGGAGTCCAGCAAGGGCCCCCCATGTTGGGTGACCGATCCCGGCAAACTGGCACCGATTCCAACAAGCTGGTATGTATCAAGGCTACGTCCACAATTTACAAGGAGCAAGCTCGACTGCCCTCACGAGTAACACATGTTCTGCAAAACCTCGGAATTTCTATGGACACCCTGTAAGATGTCACCCGATGGCTTCCGTGTTGCATCACCAGGATTGGACCGAGTTCGATGCACTCCCATCCAGGCAGTAACACAGCTCTTACTGTTAAAACGTTGAGACTTCGAGTAACGAACGCACTTGTACCAACGAACTGCTCTAACCAAAAGGCGCACTCTATACAACGACATGAACAATTCATTCGTTCAAATTCACGCAGAAGAATCAAATCTATCAACACAGCGAACCAAACCAACTGTAAAGCTCCTCTCAGCAAGTGGCTCTGGCCATCGGCGCGAGGCTAGAACTCACAACGCTTCGGAATAAACCAAAACTACTCCTATCAACGAAAAAACGCCTTTCGACAAAAAGGTACTCTGATTATCGTTCTAAACATCAACAGACGGTGATGAAGGCCAGGTAATGGCGGCCTCGAGACATCCCAAGAAACCAAAAACAGGGCCCGAGCGACGCGGCACGCCTTCCAGCCGACCCGTGCCAAGTGCAACCAACTGCGGAGTCTGGACGGGGTTCTGCCTCAGCCGAGTGCCTTTTGACGCACACATTCGACTGCACGGGGGAGAGCACTGCTGGCCTGTTGACAAACAGGTATCCAATGAACCGCGCCAGACGCCTCCTCTCCACCCTCCTCCTCCTCCTCCTCCTCCTCCTCCTCCTCCTCCTCCTCCTCATGCAATGTCTCGATCCTTCTTCCTTATAAATCGCTCCTCCATGTCGCACCCGCAGACGTGTCGGTGAGCGGGCCGGGCGTTTCGCCTTTTCCCCTTCCTGTAGTATCCGACAACTGTAGGTCGGAAACAACTTCAAGGATGGAGGGCGGCCGCTTCTCAAAATGTGGCTGTCGCCTTCGCGCCTCGCGCTTTCGTCCTGAACGTCTGCAGCAGCTTCAAGGATGGAGGGCAATCCGTTTTGCAAATGTGGCTCTCGCCCTAGCGCCTCACACAGTCGTGCCCCATGGAAGCCTTACGGGAGCCTCTCGGGAACTCCCGTGGGGGCCTCACACAAGCCTGACGGGCGCCTGACGGAAGCCACACAGAAGCCTCCTGCGAATCGAAAGGCAACTCCTCACGGAAGACCCGCGAAAAATCGTCAATGAAAAGCCACGGACTTTTTTCCAACGAGTGCCTCCACGAGACTTACAAGAGACTTCCAAGAGGCTCCCCACTGGCGTCTCACAGGGGTGCCAATGGCTTCTCATCGGCGTCTCATAGGCTCGTCAAAGGTTTGTCCAAAGGCTTCTCATCGGCTTCGTTCGCAACAGGTTCCCACCAACTTCCAACAAACTTGCAAGAATCTTTTCATCGCCTTCCAATCAAGCCCCCATATGTTTCTCACATGATGTTCGGAACCTCCTCGGCAGCTTCTCCGAAGCTTCTGAGCAAAAGTTCCCCAGAGGTTTCATACTCCCTTCTGGGGTCGTCAGGAGCGTTATCGGAGTCTCCTCGTGTGTATTTCATATGGTTCTCAGGTTACTCCCCAATGGTTACTCATAACCTGCTCAAGAGGTGCTCAGGAGCTGCCAAGGCGCGTCTTAGAGGCTACTGCAAAACTTGCCACAGGCTTCCCGTAGGCTTCTCAAATGCTTCTGAACGGCATATGCTTCTCGTGCGCTTTTCGAGGGTTGCTCCGAGGCCTCTCAGCAGCGGATATGAAGTTTCTAGAGTGTTTCCCGCATCTTTCGCATAGGCTGCTCCGAGGCAAACTATTGGCTTCCTCTAGAATATGTTCAAGGGCTTCTCCAAGGCTCACCTGATACTTCTCTGAGGCTTCCCAGCAGATGCTCAGGGGCTTCCAGTCGGCTCCCCAAAGGTGCATCAAATATCAAAGGCTTTTCCGTGGCCGACGGGAGCCTCATCATAAGCTTGTCGTGAATTTCTCACTGGCCTCTCCCAAGCTTTTGAAACGCTTACGGTCGGATGATGTTGGGTTTCTCGAATGTTTCCTAAAAACGTCTGGGAAATTCCTCCGACCCCCACCCCCCTTCTAAAACTTCGAACAACATCTGAATGAGCCGCTTGGGAAGCTTATCGATGGCTTACCAGACATGCTGTTCAGGGGCATCCCATCGGCTTCTCAGCAGCTTCTCCAAATCCTATTATATGCTTCTCAGCAGCTTCTCAACAGCTTCTCAGAGCTCCCCCCCCACAGGATTCCCATACGTTTCTAATAAGCTGTTATGACGTTCGTTTCTTTTCAGTAGCTTCTCGGTGGATTGTCAGAAACTCCGAAACACACAAGCATGTCCAGAAGCGCCCCAAATTCTCCCCCCAATCGTCATAGAAGCATGGCGTAGGCTTCTCGCGAGGCTCCCACAGGCCTCTCGGAAGCTCCGACAAGCTCTGACGCAGCTTCTTCCGAAGCGTCTCATGGCTTCTGATAGGCTTCCAGAAGGGCTTTACAAGGCGTCTCAGTTGCTCCTCAGCAGCTTATCAGAAGCTTCTTGTAGGCTTTGCGCTGGCCTCCCACAGGATCTTCGGAACTCGAAACAACTCAGAAGAAGCCTCTTCGCAGGCTGCCAGAAGTTGTTCAAACACTTTCCTTGACGCCAAGCTTCTCTTAAGGCTTTCTATACGCTTCTCAAAGACATCTCAGAGGCCTCTTCAGAACTTCGATGCAACAACCTCTTCAGAGGTTTCCTGGAGGCTTCTCAAAACTTGTTTTAGACGCCTCTCAGAGACTTCCCAGAAGGTCCCTGGAGATTTTGTACCGCATAAGCTGCTCAGCTTCTCACGGGCTACCCATGGGGCAATTGAAATGTTTCTCACGTGCTTCTCCGAGGACGCCCTGAAGAAGCCCCTTCGTAGAGTGGATGTTGGAGCAACGTGGTGCTATAGGGTACGATTTTCAGCCTGGGTTCGTGTCGAGGTCGCCGGGATTGGAGCGCCGCCTTTGGGCCGAAGGCG